GCTCCTCCGTGCGGCCTGCGGGCGATGGTCCTGCGGGCGATGGTCCTGCGGGAGCGGTGTGTGCTGCCCCTCAGGAGCAGGGCAGCTCTCTGCTTCCGCTGCCGGCTTCCAGTGTTGGAGGGGATGATGGGATGTGTAGCTCCACTTCAGAGCTGATTTTTCCAGTCCGGTCACACTGGGTGTGGGTAGTTCTGCTCTTCTGCAATTTTTGAATAAGTTATATCCTCTTCAGAAGTCACTTCGTTTTGTTTGGTGCTGATTTCTGCGTGTGTCTCATGATATTGAAGTCATAAATGTATGTGATAAAACATGCATCCCATTGTACTTTTTTTTCTTTTTTAATAATTCTGTAATGTAATAAGTGCTTTGTTTTACCAGTTTGTGTTTAGGTGTGTTGTCACAGCCTTCCAATGGAGATGAAAGCAGTTGTCAGAAGATATGAAACAAGAAATAAGACAGCAGGAACAGAACTGTCTTCCAAATCCCGAGTTGATTGGAGACGCACTAAAAGGGAGGTTATACTGCTTGACAGCAGTGATGAATCCTCTCGTACCTCTGAGGAGGAAGAGCCTACCACATCAGAAGAGGAAGAAGATGAAAAAGATGAAACTGTTGTGAAGAGCAGCCTTTCAGATCAGGAAGAAAAACGTCAGGGTGGGGAAGTAACAGAAGATAGTGAGGATGAACGCATTGTGCATGGGAAGCGTAAAAGACTGAACTCCTCTGTCTTGTATGACAGTGATGAAAGTGAGGGCAGTGATTTACTTGTAAGAAAAGTTTTTGCTAAACGCCACTGTATAATGGATGAAGATGAGAGTTCTGAAGAACAGCAACCAGAGAAAACCTGCCCTGCAGAAAACATTTCTCCTAATAGGAAACAGGAAGTGTTTGCAAAATTGAAACTGCTTGCAAGACAAAGAGCAACTCGGAGATACTTCAGCAGTGAAAATTATGAGGTCTGGATTTTATCTTTGAAATTCAGTTGGAGAAAATACTGAGTGTATGGGAAGATGAAGACTAATAGCTATAAATCAGTGGGAAATAATTTGGTTTGGGTTTTATTAACGAAAAATCAGTAGTTCTGTCACATTTTAACAGTTGTCATTAACATTGAGTGCTGTATGTTTAATTTGGTTTTGAAACATAGAGAATGGAAAAAATTTGCTTTCATTTGCCCTTACAGGCATTCTGATGACTGGAGACAGGTACATGGAAGTGGTTAATTTAAAGCTGAAAGTAATTTTTGTCTAGTAAAGAATGATCTAGTTTTTGGAAACATTTTATTTCTTGTTAATTGAAAAAATTAAATTATTATAAGATCAAAAATCTTAACCAGTATATAAAGCATTTCATCAGTGCAAATACTGAAAATTCTTCTCTTTTAAAATTGAATTAGCTTTCTAGTGATGAAGGAGAAACAGAAGAGGAATCATCACTCTGTCACTTCCCCCTCACACCAACAGAAGGTAGTGAAACTGACAGTGACAGCATGAAAGATTTTATAGTAGAGGAAGAGGAAGAAGATGATGGTGGTGGCAACACAGAGCACGTAAAGAGTAAACACCAGCCACAGGAGAAGGAACAAAATCTATCCAATAGCGAGTTACTGGAGTACTACGTCCCACACCGTAAGATCAATATTAGTGAAAACTCTATCTATAGCTTGCTTATAGAGCTGTAATAAATATTAATGGACTGTAAATACAAGTACTGTGTAATAGTATATGATAAAGTTCCTAAAAGACTTGCATTTATTGTGGAAGTACTCTGATTTCCAGACCAGACTTTTAGGGTCTTTCCCTGTCTTACTAAAGGAAGGGTGTAACTGGAGGGGAAGGAAGGGAAAACCCTATCTGCTGATTTAGGATTAAGTAGGCTACCTATGATGCAGTAATTTCTGTGGAGCCTGGAGAAGAGGTGCCGAGGTGGCCTTATAGTGGCTTTCCAATACCTGAAGGGGGCCTACAAGAAAGCTGGGGCAGGACTTTTTGCATGGGCATGTAGTGAGAGGACAAGGGGCAATGGTTTAAAACTTGAAGAGGGGAGGTTTAGATTAGCTATTAGGAAATTCTTTACTATGAGCGTGGTGAGGCACTGGAACAGGTTGTTCAGGGAGGTCGTGGAAGCCCCAGCCCTGGCAGTATTTAAGGCCAGGTTGGATGGGGCTCTAAGCAACCTCATCCTGTGGGTGTCCCTGCCCATGCAGGGGGGTTGGATCTAATTATCGTTAAGGTCCTTTCTAACCTTAACCTTTCTATGATTCTGTGAAACAGTGACAAATCCATCCTGTGATATATGCAGAGTAGCTGTGTTAATTCTGGACATACTCTGTTCTGGAGAGTGATGTAAAATTCTTGCCGCGAGTTTGGGGTTTTCAAGGCTTGGTATCATTATTTTTTATGAACGTATTTTTATTCCATGGTGTCGAGACTTGGGAGCACAGGTCTGTAGGAGTCTCTGAATTCATTGGTCAATTTCAGCCAAACTGCATAGAGTGAGAAAACTTCTCAGGTTGGTATTTTTTTGAAAACTGGTCTCTGGATGGAGCATAGAGAACAGAACTTTTATGCTAGTGCTGTAACAGATGTTGTTCAGAAGCAGCTATGTACTGACTGCACAGTCAGTTGGAGATGGTCACAACCATTTGTGTATTTCTTAGCAAGTAAAGACCTGTGCAGAATTGTGTGTTTTTGAAAGAAATGTGGAAAAAAAAAAACCAACAACCACCATAAGCCTGGCCTTCTCTGTGCAGCATGTTTTCCTGGTACTCATGGAACAAATTATCCTTTTTTAGTGTTTGTAGTTCTTACTGTGGGCTCTTCTTGCTAAAAGAATGTGTGACTTTAGGATGCTAAAATTCATTAAGATCACTGGTATTAGGAGCACTATTAAAGGGCAGGGTCTTAATGTGTGGATGTTGTACATTGAGATTATTTTGAAAGCCATATTTAAATTACTTTAAAATTCTAAGCTCACAATAATGGAAAAAAAATAATTTCTTAGAGGACTTTTAACTTTGTTTACATCTTTTTGTTGTTGTTAGTAAATTTGGGTTATTTTGCTTTCTTCCCAGTATCTCGCTGTGGTCATTACATACACTTCCAAAGAATAGTAAAGGCTTTCCTCATAAATGCAATTGATGACACTTTTCTGGGCTCACTGTATGGTAAGTAAATTGCATTAAATAGTATAATAGTGCATGTAAAGTTATGCAAATACAGTTATTCTAGGGAAATACGTTTCTCCTGATTATAGGACTGCAAGTCCTGAGATCTCTTCTTGTTTTTGCTGCTTTCTTTAGGCAAGGGGGGAGGAGGAATCTATCTGAAAAGGATAGAGTAATATTGGGAAAAATATATAGTCTTAATTCTTTTAAGCCTTGAAGGCATTCTCAGATACAGGGAAGTGTTTCTATGTTACTGATCAGGACTAACAGTTCCAGCATGAAAGCAAAATTAGTTTCCAATTAGATATCTCAATGAAAACATTGCAACGTCAGTTGATTTGTCAAAACATGACATGCTTCAATTTTTTTTTTTCTGAGGAATTTAATAGAGAATACATAATTTTAGTTATAGAGATTACTGTGGGCTTTTTTCTTTTCCTTTTTTTTAACACTGTGCTTTCAAATACGACACATATTTGAGCTTCAGTCAGTACTTCTTGTCACGTTCTTGCTGAGGAAGTGGTTTTTGGCATTTGGTCTAGTGGGACTGAATGGCAAATTTACATGTAGTTTCAGGAGCACTGTAATGATGGGATTAATGAGAGGATTGTCAGTGACAGGTTGTGGAAGGAGTCAGCGAAGTGCCAAAGAGAGGAAGTTTTGATCTCAGGAGCTATGAGGAGAAGTACACCACAGATTTCAGAATAAAGGCTGTGCTCCCAAGTTCTTCCAGGTGTTAGTTTTGTATTGTTTTACCACATGAAAACAAGGTTATGAAAAGTAGTAAGTAAACTTTGACAGTTTTTGTTGTAGTTGCTTTCTTCTATTTCAAATTGTATCAGCTCTTCACAGCTAACAACTTATTGCCAAGGTGCTGGAAGTAGGTCAGCAATGCAGATGAACTGGATGGTTGTGTTCTGTCTTTCTGAGGAACATTGTATAGTATGAACATTACTAAGATATATATTTTATAACACAGAATAGATTTCTCTGGGTTGATGGAATTGAATCTGTTAATTAGTTTGAATCAAGAGCAGCTACTTTAGTAGTAGAGTTCACACTTCATTGTGAGGGATTTTTCTTTATGATCTAGCATAGCTTTTTACTTTAATTGACTTATTGAAAATGTTTGTGTGTAAATGCACGTGAAAAATAAATAATTATGATTATGATGCCTATAATGATAATTACAGTTAACTGGTTTTATACAGAAAGGTAGATAGCCAGTCACCCTTCTTGGTTCTGTTTCTTTAATAACAACATTACTAAAAGACTAGGGAACATAACTGTATTACTTTGCATGTCTATACATGCTGAAGTTTAAAACAGTACAAACTGGCCTGCACCTAAGAAAAGTCCTGTTTAATTCTTGGAGTCCAGCACGTATTTGGAACATTTGTGGAATACTGGTAGTTTTACTCATCTCTGTGCTTACTTCTTTTGCTTGAGAAACTATTTAGAAGTAAGTACTTATGCTGCTTAGCTCAGGGTATCTAGCTCTGCTGCTGAGGTGTAAAAGTCAGTTTCTGTGTGTTCTTTGTAAGTGACTAAGGAGTTGTCAACATTTCTGCTGTGAAGAAGCTCAAGTGCAGTTTGCTTTCATGGTTTGCAACCTCTGCCCTTACACATTATGAACAGTTCACAAGAAAAGGACAAAAAGCGAGACACTCCTGCCCTGCCCCCCCACACCCCTTTTCTTTTAAATGGAATCCGAGTTAATGGGTCTTCATTTTGGGTAACAGCTTTTCACTTTAACTTTGATTGTAGAGTTTATTTATGTACCTCTTGTGATTAAGTCTTTAAAAATCATCAAATGCATCAGTTTATCAGTGATGTGTGGGTCACTTCTGTAGATAAAAGTAGCAAATGTTTTCACTAGTAATTTATTAAAATCATTGATAGTTCTTAGTATGCAGAAGCATTATGTCCTTGAAAATTTTATTTGAAGAAACTTGTACAACATAGAGTGGTCAGCAAATTAGTAATGATTCTCACTGAACAGATGGAACAAGACAAAAGAAGTATGCACAAGATATGTTGCTCTCACTGCATTATTTGGATGACCGCTTCATTCAGCCTCGTCTTGAGAACTTAATCTCTAGAAGTCGCTGGAAGGACCGATACAAAGTATGTAGCTTCTACTTTTAAGTAGTGGAGTAGGGTCTGAGTCATACTATGACTGATAGATATATTTTTTAAATACTGTAATTCTCAGTAAAGGTACAATCATATCTGTAATTATATATACTTTTAATAGAAAATTTATGGTCTTTATCTTGTATAACTTGTTTTGAGACTTATCAATATGAAAAGTATTTTATTTGTTTATAACCAAATAAACATTCAGGTAACAGAACAGAATCTTCTCAGTTACCTGAATACTTCTCCTGCTAACTTGACTTTTTGAGGATTTTTTGTGACTCGCTAAGTGCTATGACAAAATTTCTCCCTCCTCCCACAAAAAGACAAACCAATGCATTCATAATGAAACTTCTACTACTTTAAAACAACATAAAAGAAGTCACTATGCAGTAACCTACTAATTGTATGCAGATTACTAGAACTGTAATAATGGTGTATGCCCAGTAGAGAGATACAGAACATTTATTTGATCTAGGTCAGCTGATGGAATTGCACCCCTACCCTCTCAAAAAAAAAAAAAAAAAAGAAAAAGAAAAGAAAAAAATAAAACAGACAAGAAAAATAAGTGCAAGGATGCAGGAGATATTCTTTAGGTCTGAAGTTGAAAGAAAGAATTAATGAACTAGAACTGAGTGAAGTGTTGGAAAATTATTGAGAAGGCCTATGTTTGCAAGTGAATGGTGAAAGAGTTCAGTTATGAATCTCTTCGGTTTCTGCTGCATTAATGTTATGTGACTCCATAGTACTCAGCAGCCTACCTGAGGCATCTTTCAGTTTATGGAGATTCTTTAATGTTATTTGAAATCTGTTTTTCAGGAACGTGTGGATTGTTACCCAGATGTTCGCATCATCTTGACAAATTCAGAAAATATGCCTTGTCAGGCCTGTGAAATGAATCGGTATTGTAAGTTTAATGTGATCCTCTCTGGAAAGCTTTATAACAGTAGAACTTTGGAAGCAGATGACTTCATGTCAGATGACAAACAGGTAACTTCAAACAAACACCTATATAATTATTTTTAAGCTTTGTCTGGTGTTACAGAAAGCCATACAAAGAATACAAATCCTATCAATGCATCTAATGTCTATAATGTTAGATACCACAGTTAAGCTACTGTATTTCCATGTCTAAACCCTATCAATTTTTAAAATATGAGAACCATTTTTCAATTTGGAGGAGTATAGTCTTAGATTTATCTAGGAATTATGAAGGAAGTTCCTGAGAAACTTAAAAGGATTAATAGAGGCTTTCCCCTCTGCCCCTTCCCCCATCCTTTCTTATATCTTGGGGAAAAGGTAATGAAAAGTATCATCAAGTAAACCTAACTAATCAAGAAAATAAATCTGATGTTTTTCTGTGACCTTTGTTCTTGCCTTCACCACAATGATTGTTGTGCTGTTTCCTCCCTATTTTTGCACCTTAATATTAGTACCTGATGCAGTACATGTAGAATTATAGAATGTCTTGGGTTGGAAGGGATCTCTAAAGGTAATCGAGTCCAACGCCCCCTGCACTAAGCAGGGACATCTCACACTAGAACAGATTGCTTAGTGCCTCATCAAATCTGACCTTGAATGTCTCCAGGGATAGGGCCTCCACCACCTCTTTAGGCAACTTGTTCCAGTGATCCACCACCATCTTATTAAAGAATTTTTTTCCTAATGTCAAGCCTAAATCTACGCTTCTCTAGCTTAAAACCACTTACCCCTTGTCCTATCATTATGTGCTCTTGTAAACAGGTCTTTCCCAACCTTTCAGGTACTGGAAGGTAACTATTAGGTCCCCCCAGTCTCCCCTCTTCATCAGGCTGAACAAGAGCAGCTCCCTCAGCCTGTCTTCATAAGAGAGGTGCTCCAGCCCTCTGATGATTTTTGTTGCCCTCTGGACATGCTCAAACAGGTCCATGTCCTTCTTGTGTTGGGCGTTCCAGAGCTGGACACAGTGCAAGCTGTACTTGCACTGCAGTAAGCACTAGTAAGTATACCCAGCCATGAGCTGGACTTAATTAAAATAAAGAGCTCTAAGACATACAGTAAGGTTTATTGATAACTCTTGCCTTGAAGTCAAAATTGACATTTACTTCAATTTTATCTCTGCTTTAAATCTCTTAAGTCTGAGTCTCATCCAGGGCAAAAAGGAACCCATAGGTACATGGCAACCTATACATTCTATTCTGCATGCTTGTCTTTTGCTGTGCTTGGGGAAGAAGTCTGAAACTGTGTCAGAGAGACTGACAGCACACAGGAAGTTTGACACACTAACCCAAGTTCTAATACAAGTACTCAGTTATTTCTAAAGTAGTTTTCTGTTTTGTCAGAGAACATTTAATAAAAGATTAACAGTCCTAAAGCAAATGCGTATCTTAATGAAAACTAGTGGTAAAGAAATTGCATAACTAGGTGATGCTCTGGACATGCCTGGCATTTCTGGTGTTCACCTAGTACCTGAAAAATACCATTACTTTTTTTAAATCTTTAATAGATCCTATCTCTGTATGCCAGGAATCTGAGGCTTTAAATCAGGAATGTAATTTGCCTTAGATTTACATATATTCTAAATATCAGAATGCCTTTTCATTGGAATTAGATCACTTGAAAACTCTTTTTCTTTATGCATGCCTGTAATGCCCTTAAGACTTTCCCACCAGGAATCTTGCATTGATTAGCTTTTAGAAACATTATAAAAGTAACTTTCTGTATGAAGGACAGTCATCTCCATTTAATTATTGTGGTTTCTATTTTACAAGTTAAAAGTAAGGTTATTCCTACATTAGGCCACTAGGTTTGCTCATTCTGTGGCTACTGTGCCTCCAGCATTTTGAGTGTGCATGTGCACTCTGACTGTTCTTGTTTGTTCTAGGTCAGAATGCTGAGAGAAATAATGCCACTGTCATGTTTATAGTCCTAATGCAGCCTAGTCAGAATTTTCTGCTTCATTCTTCAGATTTTTTTCACATCTGCTGTTTCCCATATAACTATTCATCCAGGGCAAACATCTTGGTTGCATTGACACTTGAAATTGCTGATCTCCTTTTGAGAAGACTTGTTCCTTACTACTTCAGTACATTTTATTAGAGCCTTTTCATTGTTTCTGCATTACCAAAACTACTTGTCCAAAGTAGAAGGCATTTCATTCAGGTAGTCTTGCATCTTTTTCTCGCTCAGTTGTCTCTACTAAGACATTTTGGATTAAATTGTATTGTTGGAATGAAACACATCTTTCATGCTGTTGCATAACATTGCACTAGGCTGTCATTTTAAATGACTTGAGCAGTCAATTTTGTTACATTTCCCACTTGACACTTCTCAAGACTTTGACTCTTAAGAACATAGGTGTTCCTAATATTTAGGGATCTTCCCTTCAAATTTGCAGCTACCGGTAACTGTTATGGTTAGATATGCATATGACCTCTTCAAGTAACATGATTTGTGACCTCTTACCATAAACTCAAAGCACACAGTTTGTCAGGAGTAAAATATGGCTATATTTGTGTACCTAGCTGATATCCAAGTTCTGTCTTTCTTCCCTTACAGAGACAAAGAAGGTAGATACCTTTTCATAGAATCACAGAATCTTAGGGGTTGGACGGGACCTCAAAAAGATCATCTAGTCCAACTCTCCTGGCAGAGCAGGATCACCTAGAGCACATCACATAGGAATGTATCCAGGCAGGTTTTGAATGTCTCCAGTGCCTCTCTGGGCAGCCTATTTTCTTTGAAAATACAGCTGAAGTTCCTCACAGTATTTGCTGAAAAGAAAAAGAGTGTCAGGACAAGTCGTATTTACAATATATTTTGAAAAGGAATATAGTAGGATTTGTTAGATAAAAATAAAGTGAAGCTCTCGTTAAACTGGAAGTACACATTACTGAAGCTCAAAAATGTGTTGTTTGGAACTTTCTACCTTAGAGATTTGAGGGGTCTCAGTGTGATTATCATGTCATCATACTGGCCTCTGCGTGCAATGCAGAATTTAGGCAAATCTGTGCCACAGTTTTTCTTAAATAGATTATAGACCCTTTGGAACAGTACTTGTTAATACACTGCTTTGTTAAGTCTGTGTGTGCATGACAATCAAGAGAGCTAGGCTTTTTCAGCAAGGCCTTTCCCCTTGTTTATTGCAGGAAAGCAGAAAGTCCTTGGCAACCATTCTAGCACTGATACTGCAATCCATCCTACAATTGTTGTTCCTTATGCACAGGTCTCTGAATGTAGACTGCTAATTTTAAAATCTTCAGTTTTTCAGGGGCAGTGTATCCCTTACTAACCAGAAGTAATATGAACTAGCACAATAATTTAATCTTTACTCAACTTCCAACTTAAACATGAAAATAACAGTAGCAATTCCCTCACTGCTGTCCAAGCAATCTTCTACATAAAGCACTGACTATTTTTCAGTTCAGAAAAAGCTTGAAATAGCCTACTGAATATTGAACTAACTTGTTCATTAATTTTTTTTCTTTTCAGTTTAACAGTAGAAAATTAGAGCTTTTTTTACCCTGTGTACTCCAGCATCTGGTGAGATGCTGCTGTGTGCATGCTCAGTATAGCTCAGGGGCTGTAGGACAGACTCAGGAGAGAAAGTTACCAGGCACTTTTCAGTAATTTTTGGTAGTGCCTTTGTAATGCAACATTCTTATGGTGACCTGTAATTCAGACTGCTAAAGGTACTGTTCTCAAGTAGTCTTTGAAGTTCTGCTGATAATGCATTGATCAACTTGTCCTGCCAATTGAGAAAAAAAGACAAAAGGCACAGAAAGCTACATAGAACTGGCACTTCAAGAACTGAAATGACTGAAAGAGAAGGCAGTTTGGCACTGGCAGATCAGATTGAATGGAAACACATAGTTGGTCTGTTTTCTAAAGGTTTATTCAAAAATACCTGAGAAAAGTGTATGTGGAGAGAACAAAAACAGACCTCCAATCTTCTGCATAAAACTTTCCTTTTCTCTCATCTCTGAAGTATTCTGCTTTGCCAGTAGAAAGAGAAGAGAAACAGCTGTTCTGTTTCTGCTTAGGCTTACAGTGATTGTTCTGTGTGTAGCTGCCAACTCTCATTTCTCCCTGGTCAGGGAGAATCAAACAGTTTAGGAGAATAGGTGTTCCCCACACTTCTTTGCTCCTGTGTCACCTGGGTTATAAACTGTTTTCTACTCGCTGTCTTGGTGTTCTGCTTCCATTTTAATCACACTTAGAGGACATAAATTCAGTCACTATGTGTTGTGCTGTGGTCAGGCTATGCTTCTGAATTCCATACAAAGCGGTTTAACACAACTTTGGCTGATACGGCCAGCTTGAGCATTGAGCAGATAAGTTAAGAATTAGGAGAGAGTCACTGAGAACTGCAAGGGGAAAAAAATTAGAATGAGTACGGTACTGAGATTCTTTCCAAAGCTGCATTCTGAAATAGCACTGTATTTTTAGACAGTCTTTCTTGCTTTAAAAACACAGCACATAATTACATTATATGCTATTTAGCTATTTGCCATTTGGCATTTCTCCGATGTAGAAATACTTTATACTTCACATGAATGAGCTACAGAACTTAACTGCCACAAGATAATTCGGAAGCAAAAAGTGTTAGTGGGTCCCAAAAGGGATTAGGCAGGTTCTTGAGGAAGGTTCTTCCACACTGTGGAACATGGTAGTTGGGCTGATATGAACTGTCTTAACTGTTGACTGTTAGAAGCTGTATGGTAATGTTATGATCATTCTGATGTTCATTCCACATCACAGAATTACCAAGGCTGGAGAAGACCTTTACAATCATCAAGTCCAGCCTATGACCTAACACCACCACATCAGCTAGACCATGGCACTAAGTGCCACATCCAGCCTTTCCCTGAACACATCCAAGGATGGTGCCTCCACCACTTCCCTGGGAAGTCTATTCCAATGTCTAATTGCCCTCTCCGTGAGGAAGTACTTCCTAATTTCCAACCTGAACCTCCCCTGGAGCAGCTTGAGGCCATGCCCTTTTGTCTTGTTGCTAGTTGCCTGGGAAAAAGAGCCCAGCCCTTGTACTAACTTCCTAAATACTTGCTGTGAACTGTTGACTCAGGGAAAGAACTGAGCTGTAGGTTTGATGCAGAATGATACCTCCTATTTTATATCACATAAAGTTGCAGGTGCTGCACCTCATTGCTTGGGATACTTGAAAAATTCTGAAATGCTGTCTGAAACACCTGAGCTCAGTTCTTGCTTGTTTCAGTATTTGAATTGATACTTCTAAAAATTTGATTGAATCAAGGTTAGGCATTGGTTGGTACATCTTGCACTTCAGAAGCACCTATAGCATCAAACACAAGCCTTAGCTGTTCAGTTTTAGGGAGAGAAGGAGGTGGAACTGTACATGTACATGATCAGTAGAGAATTGCAATATAGGAATAGGAATTTTTTATCTTGGCATTGTTAAATTTTCAGTTAATAACCATCTGCTGTAGGGCAGATCGGAAGTTCATTTAAGTGAGTGTGTCTCTGTTGACTTCAGTGATACACCTACTTAGATCAGTTGAACTGCTGGTTAATGTATTTAAGAAATTAAGTAGTGTCATAAATATGAGATAATACATAAATAGCACATAAATATAAAAGTAGTTTCTTTAATCTTTATAAATATAAATAGGCTTTTCTGTTACTGCCATTGTCTGTAAGTAATGCTAGAACTAGGTTGCATAAGTAGGTCAGGTGTTCTGGGGAACTGCTCACAGATGCAAACGTTTGGGCATGCATTTGGAAAAGTTTCCTGAAAATGTGGGCTGTGAGCATTGATTAAAACTTGGCCTTATCATTATTTAAGAGTATTCAGATTATAACCAGTGGCAGCAATAAAGGGTATCACTGTGGTGGCTCTGAAGAAATAGTTTTGCAATATATAACATGGTTGGGGTTTTTTTAGATGAGTGCATGTAGTCTGAAATAGCAATACAACCACAGCTTGCTTTACTGGTGCAAAGAACTTTGACCTTAAGCCATTTACCTGCATGTTACTCACAAAGGTGTGACAAGACATCAGTCCAAAACAATGCTGGAGGCTAAGTTGATGGGATGGGGTTTTTTTAGTAAAACTAAATCAGTTTCTGCTGTATGCATCAGGAGCTGAATTTCTTTGCTCTTGTATTAATTATGTTGCTTTTGAGTGTAGAAAACCTGACCTCCGAAAACCAGCCAGGTGTAGGTTTCTTACCTGATAGGCTTTGTTTCCATGGGTTGCAGTAGTAATTGGTGCATCTGTGGGTCACTTAACAGGGAATTGTTTCTTTCTTCTTCTGGTTTGCCATTGCATGTGCTTGAACCCCTCTTGTGGAAATGGGACAAAACTTACAGTCATGACATGCAGGATGTCCTTAATGCAGATGGAATTTTGACTCTTTCTCTCTCCTCATTCCTCCAATTTTACATACTCTTAGTGAAGATTTAGGATTGCCAGTGATTCATGTAACCAGTATATTACCAGTATTTCCAGGTAAACACCTTCAATGCTTAACATCTTTGTGTAAAATCTGAGTTCAAGACGAGTGCAAACACTTGCTTGTATGTAATGTTAGTGCTGATAGATCATAATGAATCTACTCTAATCCATTATCTGATTATGTATTTACATCTGTATTTAGTATTTGTTTATCTATAAACACTGCTATAAAGAAAACTGTTAATAAGACAGTTTTGTCTTTTCTGCATGGAAATTCTAGAAGTAAAACTGGTAATAACTGTGAGATGCAGAGGCTTTGATTTCTATCCCTTCCAGACAGTTACAGATTAACATTTGCATTGTTTAAAACCTCAGATTTTATTTTTATGAAATCCAGTCTCTATATATTTATCTAGGCATATATCTGTTTGTATTCATATGTATTTCTTGATTATTATTCAGTCTACAAAATGCAAGAACTGGGGTTTCATGTCCCTAGGAAGGACTACATATTAAGCAAAAGTAATCAAATAATTTCACTTAGTCTGCCTTCACAACATGATGGTTGTCTAAAATATTAGTGATTTTGTAACAGAGTTCCACCAGAAGATAGGAAAAATACCACCTATTATAAACATGGTTTTGTTTGCAAGGAAACAGTACTGATAAGCTGCCATTGCATAGACTTGCTGGCTGCCTGCCTGCTAAAAAATTCTGCTGTGGCTGTGAAAACTACATGATTTTGTGCTGACTTTATGCATGTAGTGTCATTCTGTTTATTTCATTATTCAAAAAAATCTTAATTTGACTGACTTGTCCATTCTTTATATTGTCAGGATAATCACAATTCTGTCAGAGAGAATGATCTTTTCACTTTGGCCTAGGTCTTGAAGGTTGGTGTGGTGTGTGCAAATCGTACAAGAGTTTATCATAATTTGAAGCATTTCAAATACAAGGTGTATGTGGATTGCAGCACCTTCACTGAGTTGGATGGTGTTAAGGAGGAACCAGTCAAAGACACAGTCGAACGGCTTTTCAGCCAGTTGGACGACAGCGGGTGGATTCGGAAGGTACAGCTGAGTTATTTGACATATCCTTTTCCAAGTATCTAAAAGTAAGCTGAGATAAAATGTCTGATTGAACTAATCAGTTCTGAATAACACCACTCAGCTTAACCATACATCCACTTGTACTGACCTAGTCTCTCCAACAGTGGTGGGCTGCTGTGTTTGCAGAGAGTTTGTGTCAGTTTTGGACGTTAAGCTTTTTGACAGCTGCATGATCTCTGGATGCTGGGCAGGCTCCTGTTTCATTCAAAAGCTGCAACACAACAAACTCAAGCTGTGACTTAGAAAGATTGGAAACACGTATGTGAGGCACTGCAAGAATATTTTACTCTTCTGTTTATGCTGAAATACTTTGAATTATTCAGAAACATTTTATGTACTATTTTGAGATAACTTACAATTGCATTTAGCAAGCTTTTAGATGTCATTGCTTCTGAATTGTTATTGGCATGCTTGTATTGAAGAGAAAGAAAAAGCAGTTTTTATGTAATTCAGTTATTAAAAATTAATGAAATAATACAGATTTTATTTTATTTGCAGAGATATAATGATCTTGAAGACTACATGAATGATGCAGACAGTTTCCAAGAAGAGAAAATAGATTAAGTGGTCATACAGCTCTTTGAAAGACATCTTGTAAAAAATTGGATGGCCTGCATGCACTTTATCTCTGTTTGGTCTTTAAGAGTCATTTTAGGCTCTGTTATATTTAAATCCATATGCCTTTAAACTACTGTTTGAGAATGTGCTGTATCTTTTTTTCTTATCTGTTTTACCAAATGAGTCCTTCCCATCTTACTGCATAGGTCACTTTAATTTTCCTTCTGTTCTTAAAAGTAACATCTTAATATCTGTTTACCTGTGAAATAAAATTTCCACCTGCTTATATTGGGCTACATTGTAGGGATGGTGGGAGATGCTGAGCCCTTTAGCAGTAGGCATATTTGCAAAGGTAAGGCCATGTTCTACAAGAACACATGACTTGCATCTTACCTTCCTTGTTATATGCAAGTAAGTCCAAGCATTTGGAATGATAATTATGATAAACAGGACCCAAATACAAAGATCTGTTTCCCTTCTGAGGAATCAGTATAGACTGTTGCAAGGCAACAGAGGAAATATTCAGTAGTCCTGACTACATTTGCAGCACAGTAGTCATTCCTCTCTTTAGAGAGTAGGTGATGAGTCACATTATAGGCGTCATACAGACTGAGTCTGGTTTAGCCATCTCAGAGAACACTCAGGCCCACAGTGATAAGCAGCTCAGGCAATTTACAGAGATTTTAAGCATCAAATTATGTTGTGCAGTCATAATGGCAAAACCTTGCAGTAACTTAAAAATTAAGATAATGGATTAATCTGGCTGTGCAAGATAAGCAAGAATTCCTCCAGTGTAACTTAACAGGAGGATTCAGCATTGTGAATAATGGCTTACCTGAACAGCACAAAGCACAAATCGAAGTTCTTTGGAGCCAGGAGAGTAGATTTTTGAGGAGTTAGGAAGGGTTAAGTATCATCCATTCTGAAAATTGGACGTGAGCTGACAATGTGCACTTACAGCCCAGAAAGCCAATTGTATCCTGGGCTGCATCAAAAAAAGTGGCTATCAGTTCAAGGGGTGTGATTCCTGCCCTTCACTCCCTTGAGACTCCAACTGCTGTAGTAGTGCATCCAGCTCTCGGGACCCCGGAACAAGAAAGACATGGAGCTGTTGGAGAGAGTCCAGAGGAGGGCCACAAAGATGATCTGAGGGCTGGACCACCTCTGCTATGAAGACAGGCTGAGAGAGTGGGGTTTGTTCAGCCTGGAGACATCTCCAGGAAGACATTACGGTGGCCTTTCAATACTTGAAGGGGCTTTTTAACATATACTGAGAGAGAAAGAGGATTGATTTAGATTGGTCAGACAAATTTTTACAATTAGAGTGGTGAGATGCTGGAACAGGTTTCCTAGGGAAGTTATGGATGTCCTTTTCCTGAAAGTGTGCAAGGTCAGGGTGGGTGGGATTTTGAGCAACCTCATCTAGTGGAAGGTGTCCCTGGCCATGACGATCTTTGGAAGTCGTGTCCAACCCAAACCATTCTATGATTCTGTCCCTGTACTTTATGCTGCATATAAAATTAATTAGTTGTAGCCTAAGATAAGATAGAAGAGACAGGGTTTTGAATCCAGTTAGGAACTGTTCCTACATCCTCTGTATGCACATACTCTTCTGTTAGTCTTGTGGCTGAGCAATTTGGTAAAAGATAAGCTACTGTTAACACTCTAGATTCTTTTATCAAGTTGCTCTCTCAGAAGCAAAACTAATGAAACTAATTTATCATGGATTTGTCCATAAGAACTCCCTGCATTTGTTATGCCACTCTACTAGTAACACATATGCTGATCAGCTAGGCAGCCGCTGCCAGGTGTATCACTTGATGGGGGACATCTCTTTCTCATAGATTAGATTTGTCATTCAATTCTCTTTTTCCAGCATTCATTTTAAGAAACTGTTTTTATATTTTAAGGGGTTTATATGCTATTAGAGTGAGCTAAGATAATCAGTTCTTCATTGTACCACATACAGATACGAGATTTACAAACATTTTCAAAGATGAAAAGTCCCAGTAAATAGATTGAGAATTAATCTCAAATAAACTTAGATTGAAGATGTTATTTCCATACCTTAACTATGAGTTAGAGATGTAAATATTCTGAGATTTTATTTATCTTCTACCTATCTCCCTGGTTGCCAAAGCTGAAGGAAGTACTCTGTATTCTTTTTCCTTCTTCATTCCTGTTCTTCTGGGAATATTGGTGGGAATGCACCCATCAACTTCTCGGGAATCTGTTGTGAATATATCCCTTTTCAGAAAAGTAATGCCCCTTGATGCCCCACTTCTCTATGTTCACTTTTGTTGGCTTCCCTAGAATAATAAAATAACATTTATGTTTGGTGTAGCTTTATTCTTACAAATGAAGACTATTCTGAAATAAATGGGGTTTGTAGCACACAATGGAGTGTGTCCACACAGCTTTCCTTACTGGTCTTAATTTCTGCCACCTCCTGAATTTCCTGTAAACTCTCAAGACTGTATGATTTTTTTATTTAAAGATTTGCCATGAAAATGAATGGTCTGTTTCTCATTTTGCCACATTTAAACTGTTGCTATGAAGTTAAAAAAAATAACTGGGAAATTTTGGCTTGCTGATTACTGGTAATAAGTCAAGAATACATACATTTTGATTGAAAATTAAAATTGACAAGTTATTCCAGTGATTAATTCTACTCATTTTTTTTATATCTGCCACATCCCAGGTTCTGTTTCTCACCTCCTCTTGGTTCACGTAAAAAGTGTGAACTATCTACTTCTTGTTACTGAAAGCATTTTTTTCCAGATCTTATGTTTTTCTGTCTCTTAACAGAGATACAAAAGTATCCTGTTAAGAGTTTCATGGAAAGGTGCCTCCATAGTTTTACTAATCTTGTCTGTGACATCACTAGTTTGGCTAAGAACATGCCTATTATACTGATTCCTATTTCAATAGGAAACTGATACTTGATTTGGCTTGGCAGGGGCTGACATAATGTTTGTGTGTGCATAGTTGCTCTTCAACTTTGATATTCCCCTCACTGAGATTAAAGGAAGTGATACTGTTTTTGTGGCTGTTGCTTTACCTGAAGAGTTTCTACAACACAGAGAATGTGAAGTATCATTAAATGTTTATATTTTTCTTCACCACATGAAATTAAAAGATTATTTAGAAGAACCATATATGTAAAAATTTAAATTTTCCAAGACTGGCTTTATATACTTGTACAGCATGAAGAGCACTCTTACCCCCTGAGACTTTCTATATATGTGGAAATACTCAGAATATTTCTAGAAAAAAACCTGCAAATACCTAATGATGGGAGAAGTCAGAAGTCTGACCAATCTTTCATACTTCTTTTCCCACATTGGGAGAAGTTGAGTGAAGTTAGGGGGTGAGAAGATAAAATGTTTGTTCTTATAGGGCATTTTTAATTGTCTTTAGTGTTAATTTTTGAAGTAGTAGCTCTAATTAAGATAAAGTAGCTGTCTTAATGGAACAATGAAGAAAGCTCAGAATGTGATTAGACTTGGCATGGGTGATCAATTATCATACTTGGAAATTACTTTAGTTTCTGTAATGTTTTGATAATCTGCTCTCCTGTAACTGGAGACTCCAGATAATGATGAAGTTCTCACAAGGCATTTCTGCACAGGATCAGGCTCACTAAGGTGATGTCCTGGGAGAGAAGGCACTTTCCAGTCCATATTCTATGTCCAGTTCTTGGAGTGAAGTGTGACAAGAAGTTATTCATCTCTTTGTGTCTCTCAGCTTCTGGAAAGTCATTTGTGGATCAAATGGGTTGATAAACTTTGCTAATAGTAGATAGCTGTTACTGTAATTTTTTCAATAGTGAAGGCTTCTCCTGTTTCCAAAAAGCAGCTATTTCTAGCAGTTCAGTAGGCACCTACAGGCAATTCCCATGTGTAGCTCCTCTAGTTTACTTTTATTTGGATAAAGACTTGTAGTTTTATCCTTCTTTAAATCTGTCTGGATAAACAGAGTGGGTGTGCTAGATAACTACATGTAAATAAAATACCACTCCAAAAGAAACATCCAGCACACCCGAAACAGACTTTTGCAGATTTAACAGAGCAAAATTTAAGGACAAGAAAACTGACTCAGGTGCAGTCAGACTCTGCTTCCAAAGTTAAACAATTTACCAGGTGAGCTGCATGATATGGCAGTGGCACAGTATGGGAGCCTGCCTAGCTGGGATTACCCCAGGAAATACATATATCTAACTGTGGTCATTCAAAGTGGCTGAGAATCCCCACTGAACAGCAAATAATGGAAATGCCTGAAAAGTCACAGCTTTTATTTGCAAAATCCTGCACAGGACTGATATTAGACATCTGCTGTTCTGGAGGAGTTAATATAACTTTGAAGTAATTTGATAATATAACTTTGAAGTAATTTGATTTCTAAACACAAATGAAGGAGGTATACACCTGGATTTAAGCAGGTACTTAAGTTTTAAAGTGCCATAAGTTCAGCACAGTCTTTTTGTTCCATTTTTGGCAAGTTACTAGCACAGTGGGACATCTATGGTGAGAACTCCTGGCTGTGAACCCAGCACAAGTAAGTGCTTTGCTGCTAGAGGACTCAGAGCTTCCACAGCAGTAGTGAATTCACACAGAAAAAAATGCTCAAGCGTGACAGCTCATGTGGGATTACAATAGGATGTAAAAAGGTCACAAATTAATCTTGACAGAAGGGGAAAAAAAAAGTAATTAATTATTCAGGACTCGTTATGTTAATGTTTTATCTTGTCTGAGCTTATTAGAATGTCTATGACACGAATCTTGAGTGATGTTAAGATGATCCTAAGAACCCTTTGCTTTTAAGAAAAGTGACAACTAGCCAAACCAAAAATGATAGCGGTATCCAGGGGCTGGGAACATTCGCCAGGGCTTTCCGGACAACGCTTGAGAAGCTGAGGGATGGATTTGGGGTATTTCCCCCTCTGAACCACCGGGGGCAGCATTCGCTGTGTATTGAGCGGCCGGGGCTCGCAGCGCAGCCCCGACTCGCAGCGCAGCCCCGCAAGCGCCCGTCTCTCTCCCTGAGAGGAGTGTG